GGGGGGGGGGGGGGGATTATATTGTCCCCTTTGCTATTCAGTTTAGAGGCATCAACAGTGATCAAGGATTTTATCAATGACTAATTATATTTATCTCATTAATTGTGTTTTTTATTGCAGGAGGGTATTGAATTCTACACATCATGAGAATACACTATCAGGACTGTCTGAGCATGTAATTCCACATTAACAAGTAGGGCAACTCAATGTCAGTCATTGTTTCTTATTGTAGTTGAGTCTTTCTGCCCTGGGGCGTCATGAGCATTTCACCCCAAATCTTACTTGGGAACAAATGGAATCAAACATATGGAAATTAAGAAATAGATGGGACCAAATCACTCTGTGTTAGTCAGATTTAATGTGAGAATAATAATATTTAGAATATTATTCCACATATAGAGACTGGTTACAGAATGATATAGCTGATGTTTTGGGAGGAAAAGAGGTCTATACATCAAGTAAGAGAGGTCTAATTAGCAGGCTGGGCATTTCCTTTGCATTTGTGTTATGATTGTTGTCATTATCAAAATAAATATGGTAAAGGCTAGCTTCAAACTAACTTCCTTGAAAATACTAAAGATTGTCAACATGCTCAAATCAAAACAAACTGTTCAGCACCGGGTGAGACATACTCAGTCATGCTTGCTCAAATAAACACACTCTTACACACATGCACACAGCAAACACAAGGCTGGCCTAGGCCTTCAGATCCCCATAGTTTTCCTCTTGTGTTTATAGAAGTAAGTTTTGGTGAAACTGTTGTGTCTCATCATTGTTCATCCCAGCTGTGTAAGCCCCCCCCCCCCCAACTACGCTTTTCAGTCTCCAGCCACACACACAAACACGCATTAATGCTCAAAATCTATTCTTCTGCAAAGAGTAGAATACAGTACTCCACCGCACAGTAGTTTCAAGGACATTAATGCATTTATGTGAAAGCACGGTAGAATTCTCAAAAGAAAAAAAAAAGCAGCACGTACATCATGATTATTACCCGGCTGCATTTCCTCATCACAGCAGTTTCACTCGAATGCAAAATGTTATTTCCTTGCCATATGGCTCGGAGGTCATATGAGGGCAAACACAGTGTGCACTGTGGGATTGTAGGGGGGATTCAAAGCTGACAGGAGATGACAGCTCATTTTAACCATGTGATAAAATAATATAGTTAAAAAGAACATTTTCGGCCGTGTGTCTTCATCATGCAGTTTGTTTTGGTCTTACCTTATGTCTGAACTGTGGCGAGGTTGATACTGGTTCTTTCCTCTCCCCGTCTGAGGCTCCATGCCTATTCCTGTCCTGCTGCATGCTCTGTCCCACCTGCACCATGGCCTTACATTCCACACAGGAGCCAATCACCAACCTCCTCCCGTCATCCACCAGGAGCGTACGTGTGCTCCGAGGTGCATAAAGGAAAACGGGTAGTCTGGCCACAGTAACAGTGCACAGTCTACCAAGCCTGCGCTGCTCCTGCCTGCAGAAGAAACACACAAAAACCTCACAGCTGTACTGGCGGGCCCAAGGGGAGCTGGGTGGCTGGGGGTTGGCACTGGATAAACTAGAGGTAGAAGGGGTGGAGGGACCCAGGCCCTTGCTCTCATGTTGGGCCCACTGGGTGTGTAGATCATGGTAGCACAGGTTACAAGCTGACACCAGGCCTGTGGCGTCAACTGGCTTGGCACGGGGAGCAGGAGGGTGGACTGTGAGAAAGGGGAAGAATGGCTCCCTCTCCCCACAACGCCCAGGTGGGTTGACATGCAGCTGGTACTCTCTACCTGCAGACAGGTCTGCTCCACACAGGTAACACACCGACATGGAGCTGCCGGGACGAGAGTCCACACCTGTCTGGGAATGGGTTGATCCAGACCCCTCAATGGCCATGGCAGCGTGGTACCTGACCAGGAAGGAGCTGACAGAGGTGATAAGGTCCTCACTGAGGCTGAGTCGATACGCACCCCAGATCTCCTCCAGGATAAAATGGCACTGTGGGCAGCAGTGTACACGGCCATTCCTCACCCCTTGGGCATTAGGTGGGCAAGGCAACGTGTTGATGAAGGGAAAATACATTGCACCACGGGATTTGCCAACACCAGCCTGTGCATATGCCACTCTCATATCTCCTCCACACTCCTGCCCACAAAGAAAACAGGCCTTATTGGAAGATCCGGGATCAGTTATGGACTCCATAGGCTCTGGGTGTTTCCCCTCCTGGGGAGTTAGCTGGGAAGGATGGATAGCACTGTTGGCTTGGTTGAGAGGGACTACATACAGGCGCTGGAGGACAGGCACATCCGCCAGCTGAAAGCTCTGCCACTGCTGCATTAGGGAGGTGTGGCAGCTGCCACACACCAGAGTTGTACCTGCTGGACTGATAGGCACTGCACCCGGAGGAGGGGAGTGAAGCCACAGGAAGGGAAAGAAGGGCTCGCCCTGCTTCCGCTCCTGTTTCTGAACACTGACTTTAAAATGTCCATCACGTCTGAGCCCAGTGCCACAAATATAGCAAACACTCTCCTCCGAACAGGTATCCACAATGTGAAGCGCCTGGGCACTCTTTCTTGATGAAAGGTCTCTGGCAGCTCTAAGCAGGGTTCTTGGGCCTGTTTTGCGGTCATACGTGTCTATGTCATCATCACTTGTAATGTTAATCTCATCTTCATCAGAGTTGTCAGAGTTAGGCTCCCTGGAACCAGCTATGTTACATTTAGTGGTGACAGCAGCGGTGCCACCAGATGACAGTGGAGTGTTGGGGTGACCCTCGCCTCTTCCTCGGTACAGCAGCGATGGATGTCTGGACGAAGAACAGCTGCTGTCGGCAACACGCTGAATGTGACGCAGCTCCGCATGTCTGACATTCCCCTCCTCCAGCCATCGCCTGTTGCGCATAATGACCCCGTTGTCCTGCACAGGTGTGTCAGAGAGAGGACTATCATAGCATCGCTGAGGGAATCTCTCCTGGGACTTTGTCAGAGATTCTGATGACTGACAGACATTATTCATAATTTTAGCCCCGCGCCTCGCCGGCAGAACACTCTCCGCTTTTGGTGATCCCTGCGCCCCATAAACACCCACCGGGTAACGGATTGCCCGCTGTGAATCTGGGCTGTTTTTAACACTGATGACATTGTTTTTCCTGCCACTGTCTCTTGGCGATTTGCCAGATGCTCTCAGGCACTTGTCTTTGCCCACAACGGCTCTGTCGACCAAATCCATCTCCTGGTCTGACATGTTCTCGTTTTCAGAAAAAGACGAGAAATCAGACTCTGCGCCCCCGTCGTAGTTCTGGCTGCTCACACTGATTCTCCTCTCCAGATCATAAGAGATGTTCCACTCCTGCGGGACCCGCCGAGAGTCGCACTGGTAGGGCCGTTTCAACCAGTACATGCGCTTCTCAATGGGCGTCCTGCTCCGCTCGAAGGAGTTCCACTGCTCCGTCAGAAAGCAGTGGCACACGGCGCACACCAGCGTATGTCCATCCGGGCTCACTTCACACGCACCCGGGGCTGGCTCCTGATTTTGTAGAAACGGGAAAAACGGAACCCTCTCTTTCTGGTATGTCACCTGTAACCTCAATTCCTTCCCGGGTGTAACTCCGCTTCCACATATGAAGCAGTGAACCAGCCCCCCTAATCCATTGCGATCACTCCTGGAAGTGTTACCGGGCAATGGGCTGTCCTCACCGGGCATAGCTGCAGCCATGAGTCGGTGTTTCCGAGATAAGGGTGCAAGTTCCTTGTCACGGGGGGAGTTCATTGTTTTTAAACACCCAGGAGTAGGCTACATGGCATAATGTCAACAGTTAAGTCACGCTGTCCACACTTATCGGCATGTCAGGAAATCATACAATCAATTTTAGTCTAAGTTACTCACTGAGTTATAGGTCCATTGAAACGACAGCGTGCAGCGAAGACAGCAAACCGTTAACTGTTATCTTTTCAAGGACAGGGAGAAATTCAGTCAAAACACGCACGAAACAGCACAGAAGTCTCGAGTCCGCATGTTTGCACTGGAAATCCGTAGGTAATGTGACACAAGAACTTGGGATCACGGGTCGCCTCTCCAGCGAACTTTCCAGCCTGCGCTCTGCAAACTTTGGCTGCCAACTGTACACAGCGCAATCCCCAATTCATGGGACCCGCTTCGACACCCCAAAGGCAACCTCCACCCCCTGCCATCCCCTTCAGAAATAATTTTGCAGAGATAATGAGCACACGCTCCTGCAGTAGCTGCCCATGCGTCCAAGTACTAACCATGCACAGGATATCCACAGTTTAGCATGCACGGGGGCGTGTGTTTAATAGACAGACTCCCAGCATGTAGGTAAATCATCTGCAAGCAAAAACTTAGAAACTCCTTTTATATCTATCAATATTAGACATTGTTTTGAGTGAGGAGGTATTAATGGTGTAAATGCATTATTAGTTTTGCTCCACAGATGCACAAAGCTGTATATTTTTTGTTTTATCTGTATAAAAAATGAATTATGCTTACTGATTACCAAAACTTGACACTGAGAGCATGAAGTGGTTTTCGTTTGTATGTATTGGCTATTATAAGGTAATTATGGAAAGGTTGTTTGTTTATACAAGACAATTATCTTACTTATCTAATCTTGTATCTACATAAGGAGATGGTACTGATAAGAAGTCATTAAATTCATGCCTCAGGCAACTCATTTCTAAGGAGCACATAGAGCTTCATTTTGAATATGCAGTTCATTCATTTGAACAAATGAAGACTAGGTAAATTCATTAATTGCATAAGCAGACATTACATTATATTTTTTTAGCTGACACTTTTATCCAAAGCCTTTTACAATAAGTGCATTTAACCTTGTCGATACAACCCAACAAATGAAAGAATCCTGCAAGTACATCAACTTTGTCAGATAAGCTGAACTGCTTCAAGTGCTACTTACAGAAACAATAAGAGATTGTGTTTCTTTTCAGTGGCCAATGTGCAGTCTGAACATCCCCTTTGAAATCAACCAACTATGTTTTTGTTAGGTGTGTAATTGGTGTCAGGGGATTTTAGTTTAAATACAAATTCAGTCAGTCAGTGTTCAGTTTGGAACACAAAATGGTGTCATGAAGACAAAAAAAATCTGTGAAAGGTTTACTGAAAAGTACCAATCAGAAATTATTTGCAGCGCTGTAAGGCCAATCATTTAAAAAAGGTGCTAAAAATATGACCCAGCTACATCTGAACAGACTGTCCTGAAATGTCTGTGTGAAAATGGCACAAATAAAGGACTTATGTATTTCCTGGCTGACAACAACAGTTCTATCTATCTATCTATCTGTTATTTTGTGTTACACTGTACAGCAACAAGCCCTTAAGGAAGGTGAGAAACTAAGAGATGTAAAGAAAAGTGATACTCAAGACCCAACAACACGCTGGATATCCTCCTCACACTCCGCACACATACACAATATTTACAGCCCCTACCACTGTCCCCTGCCCATTGCTGAACTCCAGTATCTTAGACAAAGGCGAGACCGAAAGTTAAGTAATCAAAGCTCAAACATGCACGTCATCTAACAATAACACACATAAACAGTTATGTCTGTCCTTTCCACTGTTCCACTGCTGCCCCTGGCCTGCTCTACTGTCTACTGACTCACTGACTTTGTACCTCTGCACCCCCCCACCCACTTTCACAGCACTTTCATTCATTCCCTTCATTATCCTATTCATCATCACTGTGTCCCCTAAAGAAAAATTAAGCTTCCTCCTCAGCCTTCCAATCTGGAGGTCCAGGAAGGGTTTTAATGATACTGCTGAGCCTCTCTATAACTCCTTGCCCACCCAAGATCGTTTTTTTTTCTCTTCAGCATGGCAACCAAGAAAGATCACATAAAAAGGGACATTCCTGAGTGATGCTGACCTGTTTCTACTGACAATTCCCACAGCAAGAAGGACAAAGTGGGAGGCGATGAGAGGGAAGTGCAGAGAGTAGAGACGCAGTATAGCGACATCAGTCAGTGGAGCTGTTTGTAACTGGCTATTCTATTAATAAATTCACACATTAATGTAGTAACGATACCTACCCTAATTACTCTGTCCTCACACAGTTACACATAGTGAAACACTAATGATGTGTTGTCAGCATAGATTTACAACACTGCCCTATAGTGTCAAATCTTGGTACTGCATCATCTTGGAAATCCCCCCCCTGTGCAGCCAGTCAGACTGAGGCTCAGGCAGGCAAATCACAGTTGAGCAGAAGAGCTTGAAAAAATATTTCCTTTCCATCTTTCTTTTTATTATTATTATTATAATTTTTGGTTTATTTTTGGTGCACTGGTTCCCAACCCGAGGGCCAGGACAAATCTTAAGGCTGAAAAGATGATTAAGTGGATAATAATTCTATTTATGATACACAAAATAAACTTTATTTTGTTTTGTTTTCTTTTTCAAGTCTACTACTTTTATCTCTTTCAGCCTCTAAAAGTCCTCTATATGAGCATGTCTGTGGAAGAAAAATCACTCTTTGGTGTAACTGTTTACAACTTATTGTATGTCCATGTACCATCTCCATAACTTTGTTCAGACTCTCCCAGAAGCAGCCTGTGTCTGTAATGAAATGTGTGTGCGCATTCCGAGTGACTGAAAAAAGGTGCTGTATATAGATCTCATGTGAGCTGAGATATCTATATGTTGTTTGTCATACACTGTATGGAAATTGCTTTGACCCAACAGACCCCTCCAGGCTGAGGAGAGTGGAAAGGGACATGGGATGAGGGGGTGTGCGAGTGTGTGCGTGTGTCGTGTGGTGGTGTGTGTGTGTGCATGTGTTTGTGTGTGTGTGCGTGTGTTTGTGTGTATGTGTGCGTTGAGGTGGGGGTAGCGAAGGGGGAAAGGGAATGCAGTGGGAGAGTGATTTGAATAAAATCCTCTTGTTGAGTAGAGTAGGGCCTCCAGGAGTTTTGTTAGAAAGAGGTGATGACAGGGGCAGGAGGGGGGCATAAGCACTACACTGTGCTCTGTGTGTGTGTCTGGGGAATTGGTGTATAATAGCACTTGCCAAAACAGGTCATGTGACAATTGTCACGGGGTCTTTTTTATAATGTTTTATGTTTATAAGACCTGTATAAAACTTTCAAACATACAATGCACCTATGTGTGAATAAAAGTGCTCCAACGTTTAGCCTGTGTTTTTATTTGTTTTTGATATTTGAGGGTTGGGACAGACACAGTAGATCACCTGATTCCACCATAGGTAATGTACTACTACTTACTAATACACTAAATTAATTACTTATGTTACATAGAAATCCCTCTTAGATTATCTTTCAATGCAATATACTACATGCACATACACATACATACATACAACAACCTTTCTAAAACACCCTGTATGTGTCTGGACTCTCAGGGCACATCTGGGAGGCATTATTTTACAGTTAAAACACAGGATTCAATACTTCACCACTTTAAGAGACCTCCTGTGTACCCTACGTGTCAGTAAGAGAGAGAGGGAATCTAGGTATACTTAGTTTAAATAAAACAGCGTTGGATGCATAGCATGGTAGGTTATAGCCCAAATCAGAAAATACAAATATTGTCATCATCCTATCACAGAAATTGTAAAATAAACATAAACAAAACATGACATCACTTAGATAAAAATCAGACAACAAGCTGCTTGTATGCCATTTTCACAGAGGACAGTTTGACGAGTTATAGCAAGAAAAGGAGAGTTTTAACTACAGCTATGATGGTATCTCAGTTAGCCATACCAGTGATGTAGTGTATTAATTAGGAGCATTAATGCTAAAACCTGCACAGCTAACATTATTCAGACTCTTAATATAATCCCTGAAACTACTCAGGGAAACCAGTATGAAGCTTCAAGATGTTGTAAAGCCAACTTTTCAAGGTCAGGATATACAGAACTTGTAGCTGAAGTATGTTTGATAAGTTCCTTATATACCAACAGCTGCACCTCCAGTCATCCGTCCGTCAGGCTCCTGAAATTTGCAGACGACACCACCCTAATCAACGGGTGGGAGATTGACCATCTGGTGACCTGGTACGGCCAGGACAACCTGGATCTTAATGCTCTAAAGACAGTGGAGATGGTTGTGGACTTCAGGAAGAACCCAGCCCCACCCACCCCCATCATCCTGTGTGACTCCCCAGTTGACTCTGTGGAGTCCCTTCGCTTCCTGGGGATCATCATAACTCAGGACCTTAAGTGGGAGCTGAACATAAGCTCCCTGACCAAAGAAGCACAGCAGAAGATATACTTCCTGCGGGAGGTGAAGAATTTCAACTTGCCAAAGACGATGATGGTGCACTTCTACACCGCCATCATCGAGTCCATCCTCACCTCCTCCATGACCATCTGGTACCCTGCTGCAGACAAGTGCAGACTGCAGGGTATCAGCTGAGAAGGTGATTGGCTTCAATCTGCCATCCCACCAGGACCTGTATGCTTCCAGGACCCTGAGGCTTGCAAGTAAGATTGTGACTGACCCCTCGCACTCAGGACAAAAACTTTTTCAGTCACTTCCCTCTGGCAGGAGGCTGTGGGTCAAAATTCTCCCGCCATAAGAACAGTTTTTTCCTATCCGCAGCTGGCCTCATCAACAGGTCCCGGGACCCCCACTGATACTGACTGTCCACCCACCATAAATATATGCTTTACATTAATGCACTTCCCTTAGTTTAATCTGGCACATTGCAGTATCATTATATGTCAATTGCACATTCCCTGAACAATGTTATACACATTCCTACAAACCATACGGCTCTTCACTCATTTATGTAAATAACGGTTATATTGTATATGTTGTCTCTATTTTTATCTTTATTTCTATTAGTCTATGTTTCTTGTAGTGCACCATCTTACCAAGACAAATTCCTTGTATGTGAACCTGGTAATAAACCCAATTCTGATTCAGATTCAGATTCTTTGTTTCTCAGATCCAACTTATTTTATGACTTACATGTTTTCATATTAACACAACCCTGTGTCTTTCCAGTGTCCGTCTGACCACTGCTTCATCAAGGTTCTATCTTGCACATCTGTTAAATGAAGCAGCTCCACCATACTACTCTCAACGGTCCTACAGCTAATACTACTTGACCCAATGTTTCTGCCACAGTTTGTTCTAAAAAAAAGTTACACCTAACACAGATGTTTTCTCATATTTTGCCTGATTAGACATGTCCCCCAGGTACAAACCAGGCTTGATTGACAGCTCTTTTG